CACTTGAATGCAAATTCCCTGATGAAGAGATAGTGTCTTGTTAGTCATCCTTAGTGCCTATTAAAAAACCTAGCAAATAGTAGATTCTTCATGAATATTTGCAAAAACCATGAATGAATGTTAGGCATCTAGTTATTTTAAGCTTGTGAGAAAACAGACATTCTCATATATTTCTATAGTATTATTAATTATTCCAGCATTTTGGAATATTAAACTTGACCCTACACCCACATTTTTAGGAATCTACCACTTCCAGAAATAGTCTCTTGTTTGCAAAAATATTTGTATTGAAATATTTATTGAATCATTGTTTATAATTTAAGAAAACTGGGAACAAAGTTAAATATACAGAAATAAGGGAATGCAAAATATATAAAAAATAAGTTATAAGAAGGCTTTCTTTAGATGTGTTTTTTAATGAAAAGATGCTTATGATAGTTGCAAAAAAAGACATGTAACAAGATGAGAAAATGATCATACAATTAGTAAAAAAATTTTTTATGTAGATTTGGATGTGTGGATGTAATGCAGATTATATTAAGTGAAAAAATCACTTTATACATTTTGATATGTAGTTTCATGTATTGCTTTTGTCATTTTATGTTTTCTATTTATTAAATGAAGGGGGAAAAGTAAATAATATATTCCATTTTATTAATTCTAAACACTGGATAGTGTGCTTTATCACCTTACAGAGTATGCTTTCTAGAAACTTATATCTCTTGATTTGCCTGAGTAAACACTTACCAACTGTGCACAGCAGCAGATTGAATGTGCAAGTGCAATACCAATTTCCAAGAGGTACGAAGCCAATAAAATACGTGAAACTTCCCTCCCTAGTTTCTGTAATCAGGAAATAGGGAGAAATATTACATTATTATTTTTAGTAAGCACAAACAAGCTCATGGAAGGAGCCTGTAGTATAAGAACCAAGGAAAAGAAGGAAAACAATAAATGGACCTTTTCCCAGTGTGATTTCCCTAGACATTTTTATTATTTTGCTTTCTTCTTAATTTTTCATGCTACACTTCTTCCCTATTCATTGTATGTGGCTTTCGTCCTTGATCTTCATCACTTAGCATTCTTGTTACACTTCTTATAACTTTTTAATTAATGTTTATGTCCTCACTACAGAGTCCCTGGCACAACTTGCTATGTAAGGTCTCCAGTTAGTAAGATTTGGCCCTTCTATTTCTAAGGATTAGATGGCAACCCAGAGGTTTTTTAACAAGCTATTTTTGTTTATTAAGACAGCTATTAGTAACTACAAATTTACTTAAACTTACATTTGTGGTGATAAAAATTTCTCAGAGATACTGCTGTAATAGCATAGAATGATGAACAAATTAAAAAAGAATTCAACAAACATTTTACTTGAAAGCACAAGTGATTGTGACTTCCAGGATAAATAAAACAGATCTCTTCTGATGTTACTGGAAATATTTTCAACTACATACATTATGGGTGAGCTATGCAAATCATAACAGAGCTCTTCCTGAATAAGCACTCTTTGTACTGGCTATGTAAATAAGGATATTCAGACCTAAAAGAAATAGCAACATAATTCACTTTCCCTTCAATTTCTTCTCCTCCTCCTCTTCTTCTTTCTCCTTTTTCTTTGTTGGTTCTATTTAATATCTTTTATATGTGAAAAAATGTTAAGTGTTAGGGATTAAATAATGAGAATACAGTGACAAAAACTTTCTGCTTTCTCAGAGTTTATAATCAAGTAGAAAAGACGGAGAATAAGTCACATATGGTAAGGTTAATGTCAAAATGGATAAAAATATGCTTAATAATTATAGGCAGTAGGAGGTTCACTCAAAGCCACTACTATCTAGAAAGGCTTCATGAAGAGATAGGATCTTTGAAATAAGGGTAGTGCTGAGGAAAAAAGGAAGGAGAAAGCAGAATTTTAGGCAGCTTCAATTTTTATTTACTTGTTTCATTGCAACCTTTTTTCAGAAAGAATTTACACCAAAAAAATCAAATAACCCAATTAATAAATGGGCTAATGATTTAAACAAACACTTCTCAAAAGAAAAAATACAAATAGCCAACAAGTATATGAAAAAAAGTTCAATATCATAGCAATTAGGGAAATGTAAATAAAAACTACACTGAGATTTCATTTTACACCGCTCAGAATGGCAGTCATCAAGAATACAAATAATAAATGCTGAAGAGGATGTGGGGAAAAAGGAACACTTTTACACTGTTGGTGAGACTGTAAATTAGTACAACCAATATGGATATCAGTATGGAAGCTCCTCAAAAGACTAGGTATGGAGCCACCATATGACCCAGTTCTTCTACTACTCTTCAGTATTCATCCTGAACAATTAGTGTCATCGTACCACAGTGATACATGCATACTCATGTTTAGCAGCACAATTCATAATAGTCAAACCATGGAATCAGCCTAGGTGTTCATCAACAGATGAATGGATAAAGAAAATGTTGGCATTTATACACAATGGAGTGTTATTCAGTCGGAAAGAAAAATGAAATTATGGCATTTGTAGAAAAATGGATGGAAATAGACACAATTATGTTAAGCAAAATAAGTCAAACTCAGAAGATTAAGGGTCATCATGTTTTCTCTCATGAGGAATCTATGGAAGAGAAAAGAAAAGAAGGATGTGGTGGATCTTATGAAAATCTAAGGGAAATCAGTAGAGGAAAGAGGCCAAGAGGTGGGAGATGCGGGTGGGGAGCACAGAGGAGTGATACTGGCTAAATTATATTGTTATATTGTGTGCATGTATGTATATGTAACAACAGATTTCATCAGTGTGTACAACCATAATGCACCAATTTAAAAAAAGTGGGAAAAAAGAGAAATAGCCTCCCCCAAATAAGTTAAAAGTGTGACAAAATAATTAACAGAGAAATAAAATAAAATGAATAATGGAGTTGTATCACAATGACCTAGTGTATTTACACAAGCAAACAACACAAGAAACTAACATGTTTGAGAAATGATAAAGAAGTTTTAAATGAAACAGTGTTTGATCATGTATGACATGAACAGGAAGATTAGGAAGATTGAAGGATTTAATTCTAATTTATGTTTGTTGGCAGCAATACAAAATCATAAAATTTCAGGTGGAAATTATTTGTGGCCTCTTCACTGGCAAGACTGTTAAAAAATCACTCTGCCTACATCCCTTTATTTGTAAGTTGGTGTTGTTGTCAATCTCTTCCCTTAAAGCAGCAAGATGTCTGATGGAGCAGCTCAAATAGCAAAGTAAGAGAGAGAATATGAGTTCTTGAAATATAATCTATGCTTATGAACCAGGCTTAAATCAGCAAGGGCTCTTTTTTTGCTAAGGTCAATTTGCATTATATTTCCTAGACTTAAACATAAGAGAAATCTAATTTTAAAATGTTAAATAAAGAATAAATGATATTTGGTAATTTGGAAAGCCAGTACAAAGAGAGCAGCCAAGGTTAAGATTTTGGGTCTAGAAAATTTCAACAAGGGGGTCTTACAGTACTGTACTTTCAAGTAAGTAAGCAATTTCTATTTTATATCTTTTGAGTTTGAGATGATGATAGAAGTATAGCCAAGTAAAGAAGTCAAGCTAGCCACCAGATTAATAGGCTTGGAGTTTGAGAGAAAGAACAAAACAATTAGCTACCAGGCATGAATTAGAACATTTTCCTGTTTACACATAAGAATACTAAGGAACAGGAAGCTAAACTTCACCAAAGCATTACACATAGCTAGCAGGTATAAGGATAGTATTTGAACAATGCAATCTGGTTCTGGAGTCTATACCATTAACCATGTTGTTATATGGGAGACATATTTCAGAGGTATGCACTTTGGGGGACAGATGATAGTGTTCCTCGGAACACTGATTACTTGGATGACTTTCTTATGTAGCCAAACACCTTTCTTATGCTATAAAAGGGGCATGTGAAAATATTGTAAAATGTTGGCTATCTTAATAAATGTAGACATAACTCAACAACGCCACTGGGAAAAGCCAGTGGGTAAGAAATGTATGTCTAATGTACAAGTTCATTTTGTATAACTAATCACAGAAAAAAAAGATAAAACTTGTGGTTTTGGGGAAAATCATTAGTACTGAGTTCAGATAAGTACAGTCAACAGTGGTTCTTAATATTTATTGCAAAAGACAGGTGCTGTGATTTGGACAAGGTTTCAGTGCACCCCCCAAGGGTTCATGTGTTGGAAACTTGGTTCTCATTTGGTAATTTTAAGAAGTGGCAGGGAACTTTCAGAAATGGACATGGGAGGAGGGATTGTTAGGTCACTGGAGGTGCTGTTCTTAAAAGGAATTAATGTAGTTCTCATGAGACTCTAGCTAAATCTTGTGAAAGCGTTGTTATAAAGGAGCAAGACTGAGCCTTTCCCAATCTTTGTTTTCATGTCTTACTTGTAGACCCTGTCAGGTACTTTCTCCCTTGATATTATCTGCCATTAGGCCCTTACTAGAGGTCAAACAGGGCTACCTATCTTGGGACTTTCAGCCTTTCTTTCTTGTAAGTATACAGTCTCAGTTATTTTGTTATAGCTTTGAAAAAACAGACTAATATAGAAGGTCTTGACAATTATGCAATATTATCTTAAATTGATGATTATAAATTTAGGAAAAAGAATGGTGACCTAAGTACCCTGAAACAATCATACACTTAATAACTTAAGTACACCCTTCTTATTCTCTGCAAACAAAATCACAATTGAAGTTATCTATATATTGAATCACCAGATATTGGAGATTTTTCTTAGAATTTATAGGGGAAATCTGGGTATGTTTATTTAAGTCATTTATTACACACCATCTATTTTGGGGTATTACTGTACTTTCAATTATTTGCTTATTATTCTACGGTCTTTCTTTCTTTCTTCTTTCTTCTCTTTGAAGAGGGGTACTGAGGATTGCACTCAGGAGCACTTGACCACTGAGCCGCATCCACAGCCCCATTTTGTATTTTATTTAGAGACAGGGTCTCACTGAGTTGCTCAGCACCTTGCTTTTGCTGAGGCTGGCTTTGAAATCACGATCTTCTCGCATCAGCCTCCTGAGCCACCGGGATTCCAGGCATGCGTCACTGCACCCGGCCATACAGTCTTGTTTTCTATTCTCTGAATTATTTCCACTGATGATCCTCTACATACTATATTGCAGGTAAAGAGAGGAAGTGTATAGGGAAGGAGAGAAAGTCATATCCCTCTCCTACAGTAACTCTTCTAGTCATTATTTTATAATAATTGTTTTTTCTTTTGTTCTTTTGGCCAGCCCTTCCTGCAACCTTTCCTCATTTTAAATGGGAGATTTTTTTATAAGCATTACTAAAGTCTTTTGTAGCACTAATTTTGTGATTTGAAATTTAAAGCCAGAACAGCTGGAATAAATGTAGTTAATATCTTAGGAAGAAATATAGTGATTTCATATAATCAAAATTCATATAAGATGCAAAGATAGGTTGCTATGAAAAGTTCTGTGAAATGAGAAATCACTAGGCATTTAAAATTTGAACTATGCATACATAGCAGAATTCTTTTGTTGATTTGGGGAATGGTTTTATGGTCCAGGATTATGCTTTTCTTACATGAAAAGAATCATCAGAGACCTTGTGCCTAACGCAAAGACACTTATCATTGAAGTCTTTATATTTTTTACTTGCTTTATTTTAATTGGGAAAATCAAGAATTCAAATGGCTTGTTAATATGAACTAAAAATATTACCTTAGAATCATTTTTTAAAATTAAGCTCTTTCAATCAAGACCTCACTGCCACATAAAGGAACAATACAAGCCTCGTTTTATATCCTAAGTCTTCAAAATCACTGAAAATAATAATTTTTAAATTAAGGTTTTCCTATACAACAGGCCACTTACCGCTTGTCCATAATTCCTATATGACACAGTATGAAAAGTAGACAACTCAAGTACTGTTAGACATAGTGCAATAAATGCAGTAATTACAGAGAAGATGTTCATGATCAAAGCCCATATCGTCTGAAAAGGAGACATAAGGTAAATTTATTATATTCAGAATAAATACTTTGGTTAAACAGTTTGTCTTGCTAAAACAAAGTCATCTAATTAAAAACTTTGATCTAGTTTGTGAGGCTTTAGAAGTATTTGTACACTTGCTGCTCATGCAAGATATATTTCTGGTTTACACAAAACCCAGTTAATGTAGACAAAACATTAAATTATCAACAAACTAAAAAGCATTAATCTGGGCTGGGGATGTGGCTCAAGCGGTAGCACACTCGCCTGGCATGTGTGTGGCCCGGGTTCGATCCTCAGTACCATATACAAACAAAGATGTTGTGTCTGCCGAGAACTAAAAAATAAATATTAAAATTCTCTCTCTCTCTTTAAAAAAATAAAATAAAAAGCATTAATCTTCCAAATCCATTGGGGATCAAAAATATTGTATTTTACAATCTTGTGAATCAGTTGTAAGAAGATTGTAAAACATGATTTGAACCAAAGGGTTTCAACTGAAAGGAAAATTAAAAAAGGAGAAGAAAAAAAAAGTAATGGAAAATGAAAACTGCTTGTGGAAATACAATCAAACGGAATTAAGTTTTAATCATAGATTTTAATTATCTGGGAACATTTACCAATAACTTTAAACAGATATCAAATTTATTTATCCTATATCACAGATCTTTTTCTTGGACAAATGCCCAACTTTGATACAATCCTATTTACAATCTGACTTTCAGAAAATGAGATTTTAGAGCAGTATAATATCTATATATAAAGGCATTAGGTTCTGTTAAATGCTTTCTAATCATGATATTCATATAATGTTAAAAGGTAGAATACCAAACAAAAAACCCTAAAAACTATAATTTATAAGCTTTTACATAAGGTAATCATGACTTTAACTACTGCAACATATTTGTCTCCATTAACTTATGTAATCCTAGATTTTCACTTAATTTCTTAATTTGTTTTATAGGGTGTGTAGACTACTTCATTATTCTGAATCATCTTTTCATTAAGACCTATTGTTAAGCATAGTGATAGTCAATTCTAGAGATATCCCAACATTTCAACTTACCAGGTATTGACTCGATTTCTGTGTTGATCTTATTGTGGAAGCTCCTGACACAATATACTGAACATAAAAACATAAGTATTTATTGATAATGATTGCCAACTTAAAATGTATTTTTAAAATTTTCTAAGTCAAGTATTTTTAGAATACTAAACAGTAATAAAAAAAATAACTTAAAGGGATCAGGATAAGTATCCATCATGAAGTAATGATGCTATCCAAAGGTTATAAAAAATAACCACAGGGTCACTAGTAATAGAAATATATAAGGGAATGTGGACAGAATGTGGACTGTGGCAGTTCTGAATCTGGGATCAAGTCTGATTATGTGTGCATAAAATATTTCACACATAACTCAGTTATTTCTTCTAGTGCTGTTGCTTCTAATGAGATGATGCATTGGCTGAGTACATGTCCAGATATGGAAAACATGGCTTGTGAGTTGATCTCACACTGTGATTTACAAAATACAACTCTTATAGTAATTACTAAGGTAAGAGCTGCTATTTATGCTTTTGTTTGATTTTTCAAAAAGAGATTCCATTATTTCATGAGAGAATATTTATTTCCAAGAACAGGAAAACAATACCATATTGTTCGAAAGTGATCTGTACAACCCCCTTAAATATTCCTTGCCTTATCTGTTTTAGTGGTTTTATTAGCAAAGGCTAATTTTAGGAAAAAAAAACAGCATTCATGCAACACCCTTTATTTAAGAAGGTCAAAATTTGAAACTTATAAATTCCACAAGAGTAAATTTAAATCACACATTCTACACTTGCTTCTGTAAACAAAAGCTGAGATTTCTAAGGAGGTAGATGGTGAAGAGAAAAACTAACATGATATCAAAGTGAAAATACCTTGTGAATTTTAAACGAGAGTGCTCTCCAACTAGATTATTAAGTCATTTGCTTAATAAAATGCCTTTCAAAATTTGCAACCTGAAAATTTTTTTACTGAATTACATTTAATTGAAATGCTAGAAAATGTATTGTTTAATATGCTATTTTTAAAAGTTTTTTTTTAGGCAATATGTCCCTCTCACATAATCACATATGCATGGAACTTAATTTGCTCCATTTCAGTTCCTAGTACTTCCTCTTTCCTTATCCTCCTCTCTCTATCTTTTGCCCTTCCTTTACTCTACTGATCTTCCATTTATTTGTTTTTTAAATTGGTACTTTATAGATAGACATAAAGGTGAAATGTACTTGGAGTCTCCTTCCTCTTCCTGCCTTTCCTCAATTCCCTTCCTCTACTCTAATGATTTCCCTTTTATTTTCATGGGATTCCCCCTTACACCACCTTTTCCCCTTATTTTATCCTCGCTTCCTCAGATGAGAGAAAACATTACACCCTTGACTTTTTGTGTCTGGTTTATTTTCACTTAGACGAGGTTCTATATTTCCATCCATTTACCAGCAAATGCCATAATTTCATTCTTTATGGTTGAGTAAAACTCCCTTGTATGTGTTTTATTACCTTTTCTTGATCCATTCATGTGTTGATGAGCACCTAGGCTGGTTCCTAACCTGGCTATTGTGAATTTCAATTGCATTGTTATAAACACTGATGTGGCTTTCTCACTACAGTATGCTGATTTTAGTTCTTTTGGATAAATATCAAATAGTGGGATAGCTGGGTCATATAGTGGTTCCATTCTTAGTCTTTTGAGGAATCTCCCTCCATAAGCTCTGCCAAAGTGGTTGTACTAATTTGCAGTCCCACCAACAAAGAATGAGTGTACCATTTTCCACACATTCTCACCAACATTTATTATTTGTATTCTTGATGACTGCCATTTCTGACTGGAGTATGATAAAATCTTAATGTAGTTTTGATTTGCATTTCCCTAATTGCTAAGGATGTTGAACATATTTTTACATTATTAGTTGGTCATCTGTACTTCTTTTGAAAAATGTCTGCTTTGTTCATTTGCCCATTTATTAATTGTATGTATGTGTGCATGTGTGTTAAGCTTTTTGAATGCTTTATGTATTCTAGATATTAATCCCCTGTCAGAGAGTAGCTTGCAAAGATATTCTCCCATTTTGCAGGCTCTCTCCATATGCCCTAGTTTTCTTTGCTGTGCAGAAGCTTTTTAATTTGAAAATTCATTATTTTTCTCTTATTCTTTTTCCAAGGCAATGCTTTGGTATATATAAGTAGTGCATCATTTATTAATGAGTCAGTACATCACTTATCAACCATGCATCATTATCTGGATTTTATATGAAAATTAAATATTTTTATCATTATTTTTCTATCTTCTACTACTGAAATGAATATTATAATGAAATCAATATAAATGTATTGTACTCACAAAAATTCCCCAAAAAGCACATCCTGTTTTGTAAGTTATAGGTTCATATGTCCCAAAGACTCCTTTAATTTGTCCCATATACAAAACCAATAGGAAATACCACATGAAAATATGAAAAATGCCAATCATAATCTGGATAGCCTGTAAAAAGAGAATGTTGTTAGTACTGAAACAATGTAATTTAACACTCAATTCCAATGAATTTTAACTACAAGAAATATTCAACACCTTTACAAAAGATGATGGTAAAACAGCAATACACCTACCCATGTATTTCCTGAATTGGTTAGTACAGAAAGAAGGCCCTAATCAGGAAGGACTGAGGTTTCTCAATTAGGAATCAGCCATACTAGACCAAAAGATTGTTTAAAAATAGTAGCTCTGACCACTTCTCCCATAAGAAAGTTAACAATTCAATTATACCACCTGTCAAGTTATGGTATAAGGAAAGAATACTGACAGTATGTAGGAAAATGTGGTTCCTAATCTACTTGGATGCAGGAAGCCATATATTTGACATTTTCTTGTTCTTTTGAATCTTAGAAAGGTTTACCTTTTCCTTCAAGGAATACTTGGTATGCATGGATTTTTTTCACAAGCATGCTAGAGTAAACCGTAATCCATACAATAACATAAAGCATATCTCAGGCAGATCTGCTTGCACTAGATCCTTCCATTAGATAAATGACAAGTTAGAACAGGAGAGAATTATTATTCAACTTTAGCTTGTAAAAATATATTATCCCAGAAAACTTATTTTCAAATTTATGTGAGCTGATAATTCATATACTATACATTTTTATAATTAATCTTTAAAAATGATGGAGTGTTATTTTCATTTTCATATAAACTTTAATAGGAAGCTATTTAATGTTTTAAGAGTTTTTGTACTTTGTAAAGCAAGTAGTCTATGGAACACAATGCACTTAGCTAGTAGAGAATGTATTTTTCTTTTTTTAGATACCTCCTTTTTGATAACAATCCTATCTATTCTTTATGTTTAGAATTTAAGCTTTCTCACTGCATCATATTTACAAGAATGATATCATTTCAGAGTTTTTTGGACTTAATGAGAAACATTACCTACTAAGATTGCAAAATTCCTCTTAATGAGAAACATTACCTACTAAGATTGCAAAATTCCTGAGGGCCTGGACTTTGTTTTTTTTCCTTATTGCATCATCAGTCTCTAAGTGCCCAGCACAGAGTGGGCACCCAGTAAATACCGCCTGTATAAGCATACTGGTATCAAGAATACTAATTCCATGTGACTTTGCCAGGGATAAAAGGAGTAGGCTTGAAAAATAATGTCTCTTTGTATATGACTGGATGCTTTTCTATAGAAAACTATGAAATATCTACATAGTCAAAGCTTATAAAGAACTCTGCCAACAGGCAGGTTTTCTTATTTAAAAATGGCTTTTAATGCTTGGGATAGAGCTTAGTGGTACAGCACTTGTCTAGTATGTGTGGAAGCCCCGGGTTTCATCCCCAGAACTGAGAAAATAAAAACTAAGTTCTTAATTCAGTGCCAAAAAGTGGGTTCCATGAGGTCAAACTCCCTCTCTCCCACTTAAAAAAAAAAAAAAAAAGAAAAAAAAAAAAAGTACAAAAACAGCCATATATCCATGGTTCTGGGGGAGAAGATTCAGGCTTTCATTCTATCTCAAAGTGGTCTATGACCCCAGAGAGGTTAAAATTATCTGCTAACAATCTGATAGAAGACTTAAAACAATTGGCATACACAGTATTCAAATTCAGAGGAAGAATCAGTCAATGGAAAAGTTTTCTTCCTTTTAGATGTAAAAGTGCATGATCCTCATAATTCTTTAGTATTTATTAAGAGTAAACTGTTTTTAACCTCACAGGTTTATAACTTAATAAGACAAAATTACCATATCCTACTGTATAATAATTAAAAAATCAATGATAGTCTCTCTTAAAGTTAAAACACACACATACCCTCTCTTTTTAAAACTTTATTCCTTGGGTTTCTCTAATACTGTGTGTTGGTTTAGTCAATGTTTAAGAATGTAACATTAGTCGAAATTTGTAGAAGACAATCAACATTTTTTTAAATATTAAATTCTTATCCTTTGATTTAACCAAAGCTATCCCTTTCCAGATCCAAGAATACTCTTCTCAAAACTGAAATATTTACGACCGTGAATTCAGTCAAAGTGAAATACTACTTACCCCTAACACAAGACTATCTGCTGCAGAGGTGTTCCCACATGCCATACTATAAGCATTTCTTCTACTTGATTTTGTTTCTAACCTTTGGTGATAGCTTTATTAGCAAACTTCTACAAAACAATACAAAACACACACACATGATTTCCTCAGAAAAAAATACATAAGTTTGATTCTTTTTTATAGTTTTAATCATCTTCCTAAAGTTAGAAGCAACAGTTGTTCTTTCTATGCTTCAATTCTTAGAGGTATCAGCATTATCCACCTCTTCTGAATGACAGCCTCCATGACTGAAAAGCCTCTTTGTGACTAAAAAATACTAGTATATTACAGATATCACCTTTTAGTGGCAAGCAGTGTCTATAGGTGACCTAATAGAAGGGACATGTAAGGAACAGTATTAGAGAATTTACAGTAAAGCATTCAACAATTCATTTGCAATTCATAATCAATTTAATATCATTCATAATGCCACGTTTGCATTTAAAAAAAAAAACTTCATATACTTGAATTGGCCAACTGTGCTTTTTTTTTTTTTTGACACATACTTCCTACTTAGTTCTTCTCTCTTTATAAAAATAATCTTTTCTTGTATCACACAACTTACTTAAGTTGCTCTGCAATCCTAACAGTAGCTCCTGTTCTTTTTTTCCCCTTTAGTCTTCCTAGTGTTTAGATCATCTTTGTATTAAGATAAAAACTTGGCTAATAATTCCATTCCCTTGTAGGACTGTATCCTTTTGTAGAAGTGAAATTCTGCATCTGCTAGTATGTCACATAGGAGTCATGACACCTGACTGATGATTTTAAAATTTCAGTCTTGATCTTTTCAGAAAGAAGGGAGTTTTGACTAAATGATCCCATACCCTTAAAATTTAATGGCTTGATTGTTTTCATTAATCCTTGTTTCTGAAATTTATTTTCTCAATGTCTCTTAATGCTTATAAGAGCTACTGATAACAAAAGATAAAAAACAATATGTTAGTAATTGAAGCAAACTTTATACATTCAATTTGAGAGAAGTAAAAAAGGCGGCTTTGGATGTATAGGCAACCACGTTAAATCTCTGTGTCACAATTAAATAAAATTCACAGAATTATAGAATTCACGTAGAATAATGATGAAATATCATTATTTGCCACTTTTCAGATAAGAGGAAAATAAAAATAAATCCTTTTTTGTATTTAGAGGAATTCTTTTTACACTCACTGCTAAACAGTGGAAGAGACATGAAGCGACTCTGGGTGTAAAATATTTTGCAACACTATAATCTCTATCAGGCCCCCACTTAAGCCACCCCAAGTGAAATAGTCAAATAAATATTAATGAGAAAAAAGAATGTGTGTATGTGTGTTTGTGTTTAAAATCCTCAGCTTATTTGATGGAAGAAAGAAACACTCCAACATTCATGGAACAATTGATTGGAATTCTTTCTAAAAAAATTTCTACATTTGGCTACTCTACAATCCACTTATGTATCATGTTTTTGTAAATGGAAATAATCATTTATTTGTCTTTATTATCTGGTGGTTCCATCATGAACCCAAAAGGAGACAAAGAACAAGTCTGCTGGTCCATATTCCAAACCCTAATCTCTTACTCCAGGATTGCTTTATACAGAAATTCTACAACAATTCTCTTCTAGTACAGAGCTTGTACTAGAATCCACTTCTAGCATCTTCAGTAAAACATCTTCGGTAGAGATGCAAACCCGCATTGTCTTTAGGAAAAAAACCAAATAAACAAATAGAAAAATTGAGGGCGGAAGGGTGGGGAAACACCACTTATGTCCAAAATTTTCAAAAACCCTTCACCAGCCAGCTCACCTTTACCTCGCGGGGGGCCACTACCCGGTTTCAGTCTAAAGGCTGCAGCAGGAATCTTTGGGAAGCCTGCGGTGATTGACAGGTCTGTTAGATATTCTTGTTTTCCTAATATTTTGCCCATAATTCCTACTTTTGATTTTCAGGGCTGGCTCCTACGTCAGCAAGAGCTCCCAGAAGCCAGGGAATTCATTTTTGCATGTCCTGGGCTAGGACCCAGAGACTGTAGCTGGAGGAAGTGACAAACAAGGGGCGACGAGGCCCAACCTGCAGCGGGGAGGCATAGTGGGGCGCGGGCCTCAGACTCCTTGCCCCGTTATGGCTACCGACACTTTGGGAAAGCAAAAGCAAGCGACACCATTACCTCGCATTTTACTTGTTCAAAGTCCCAAAGATCGAGTTTCCCCCTCTCCGGTCCAGGCCCAGGATAAGGTTTCCCCCGCCTGGGCCGTCACCCTGGTCCGGGGCCTCACTCCAGCGCCCGGGTCCGCTGAAGAGGCAGATCCCGGCCGAGGGCGGCCTCAGCGCCAGGTTCCCAGATGCCGCTGCGTGGCCATCAACAGGTAGCCCGGAGTCCAGCCCTGAGCCGGTCCTCAGGCTCCTCTGGTGGCTAGGGTATCCAACGGCACTGGCGCTGTCCTCGTGCGCCTGCGCGGACACTTGAGTACGGGCGGGGCGGAGGGAGTACGCGTGTGCAGACCCACTAGGGGCCCGGAGCCACGTGATCGATCCACCTGCCAACCTTTGCTGGGAATCTCCAGCAATGGCTGCTCCAAGGTATTGCTTCCTGGTGTCACTTATAAACGTGTCCGCGGCAAAGTGGCCCGGTAGTTGATGAAAAGTCAGCCCTTCATCCATTCTGTCCTCAAAAATTTTGATCACAAATGTACTTTATGAGATGTAAAACTTGGAAAAGGCAAATCACTTAGTTTACATTTCACCTCCCATTCAGGCAAACATGAGTAACGAAAGAAATAGCATTCAGAGTTCTTCCATTTTTCCCATGCCCCCACCCCCACTCCCACTCCATACCTTATTTAAAAAAAAGAAATAGCAAGAGGCCAGAATAACTTTTTTACCAACCTACTGGGGAAGGGGCTGGGTGCATTTTAGCTCATCTACAAAGTGTCAGTTTTCTATTTGATGTAGGCAGTAGTTAAAACAATGTTTATGAAGACAAGTAGAAGCCGCAGCTAGAAGAGAAAAGAGTCAGATCTAAAGCGTGGATGAGGAAGTTGGAGTGGGGTTGGGGTTCAAGCAAACAATGTACTCTAGTGAGTACAGATCTTTTTTTTTTTAGTTGTAGTTGGACACAATACCTTTATTTTATTTATTTATATGTGGTGCTGAGGACTGAACCCAAGGCCTCGCACATGCTAGGCGAGTGCTCTACCACTGAGAGACAACCCCAGCCCCAGCAAGTACAGATCTTGTTAAGCAATTACAGGTGACTTAATGAGGTGTATCTGGAGATCAGACATTCTATAGGCTAGTAAATATTTTGAACTTTGATTTGTGTTCCTGGAAACTTTAAATTGACATTTTGGCTTGCAATGTAAATATTCAGTGAAAGCTAGAGAGTCAAACATTCAGAAAGAAATATTTTATAAAGAAATTTTCTAAGTATCTCCAACATCCGTAGTACTTAAATCTACCAAAAGAAATGAGTAGTATTTAAAGCTGCCAAGATATTTTGTGAGCTTTTTTTATAGCTTGAAAAGTCAACTCAAAAGTGGATTTTTTTTTTTTTCGTACAGTTAACTTCCTTACATTGGGACTCCAAAGTCCTTTCAAATTAAAGAAAACAACAACAACAACAACAAAAACGCCCAGACATTTTATAGTCTTTACATTTTAAACTGGTCAGTGTATCATTGCAGTTATTAACTTTATTCTTAAGTCACATTACACTTTGTTTTCTGTTTGTTTTGTTTATTTGTCTATGAGCAGAGAAGTTTAGGAGGATATTAGCCATTCTGTGTGCTATAGAAAGAACAACAACCTTGAATGCCTGTTCAAGATGAATCCAAGATTATGGATATATTAGAATTTGTAGTGGAAACAGCCAATTCTAATGGGATAACCCTTTGTAGTAACTGGCCACTATGACTGATATCTTTTTCTTTCAGTTAAGGTTCAGCCAATAGTCTCTGGAAATTAACATGGATTTGATCATTTTCTTTACAGAGGCCAAAATGTGGATTCCATATGAGCACAGACAGGAAAAAAATAGTGAGTCAAACTGCAACAAGCACAGTTCCTTGGTACTTCTTCATTCCTCTGATAAAGCCAACTCTGATTTTTCTCTATACCTATAAACTGGATTGGAAAAATTTAGAATTCCCTTCTTTTTAACTTTTTTTTTCCATTTGATTTTTCTATGGTGTCCATCCCTTAGTAATGATGAAGCAACCAGTCAGAGTTTGGCATCCAGTATGACTCATTTTTTATTCTTTTTTCTTTTTCAATAATCCTCCATGTGGATCATGTTTTTTATTTGAATGGATTTTCTTTGAATTGGTTCGCAGAATATAAGAGACAGTAAGAGGAAATGTACTGAAAATACCATGCCTTTTATAATGTTGTTAAAAACCATTGTTGTAGATGATTAAGGCAATACTGTAATCAGCATTGGCTTTGAGCCTGATAAATACCATGTCCCAATCCCTCTGAGGAATTTCATTTTATTTATATATAAAAACAGATACTTACTTCATGTAAGCACCAGTGTGTTCTAGTAAGAAAAATGGAAATTAATCTGTGTAGACTAGGGTTATTGTAGAAATACAATTGTTAAAATGTATGTGTATACATGTGTATACAGAGTATAATGTATAAGTGTATATGTATACATATCAAGACATATATGCATATACAGTGATTTTAGTTTTCATATAGTTACCATTATCACTTGAATACTGTTCTTAATAAAATGTTACTTAATAGTTTAAAAATATTTTCCTCTTTTTTAAATTTACTATCTTGAAGCAACATTTGAGTGCCTTAAATTGTTTATTTCCACTTTACAACATATCTGCTGTTGAAAAAGTCAAAAGGTCTAGGGATGATTCCCAACTCCTGTTCTGGCTGCATACACTCCACTGTACAACTCTTTGACTTCATTTTCTCAATTGTAAAGTGATGTCTAAGACCCTGCACCCCACTCCCTACCATCCAAACTCAAGGTAAGTTTGGTCAGCATCCGCTCTTTGGGAAAAGTGGAAAGTTGTGAATAATTGATTATTAGAGAAGTGTGACAAACGCAAAACATACTTTTGGAAAGAGAGTGTTCATAAATGTTGTACTGGCCAAGCATGAATCAAAGATATGCGTGTATCTGAGATATATTTATGATTTCCAGAAAGATATCTCTTGAACTCATGCACTCTATACTGAATTATTCACCTTCACTAAAGTCTTACAATTTAGAATTGGAAGACACCCTAGAATTCTGATAATAATCCATACTTTTCTGAGGCAGGAAGAGACTAAATACAGGATACTTGAATTTTGAATGTATGTGAGTACATGTGTATGTAGCCTAAGTCATAATTTTTGGGTGAATCCAGCTGTAGTTACGTGTGTGGGGAAAAAAGTACATTAACATTTACTCCATTCTGTTTTATATTACTCCAAACAGAAAATATTCAAAGTCTAAATTTTATGTAATAGTCTAATAATGTTTGGTCACCAAAGAGTAGTATACTATACTTTTTGGAGAAATTAATGAATAGATAAACACTTTTTAAAAATGTGTCAGAACGCAAACAATAGTGGGCACATGACCTCTATGTTGAGCTACTGTTTCTATGTCAGTCACCTTCTCAGGTGTCAGATCATAGGCACATTTTCAGGAAACTTATAAGTTTTAAACTTTGAAGTCAAACATTTGATTTTATATTTTAATAGGAGGTGTAATACATAAATAATATAAGCTTCCAGGAAGTAGAATCTTTATCTGTTTTTCTCAAGAACATAGAACACTGCCCTGTCCAGAGTAGACAACAAATATTTACAGAATAATGCATGAATATTGTTCTTATCTGGATAAAAATCCAGTTGATTCCATTGCTTAACATGAGTTCACTATTTTAAAATGTTATGCTTATAGTGTTGTTTAAACTACTAAAGTAGGTGATTTTAGTTTTTGCATTCCAAAGAGCCTCAAATAAAAATTTTGGATGCTTGAGCCCAACTCAGCAACTTTTGACTATCTAGTCACAGGAGAAGTTGGCGGGGGTCCTTGGCAGGAAGTACTTGACACTCTGGAAGTGCAGTTAGGGGATTCCCAGGAGTGATTCAAAGGTAATGGTAACCTTCAGGAAGCAAGTGTTGAAAGCAGTTATTGTTATATTACTAACCCTTTTACCATCTATCATGGAGTGAGGCAGTTCTTTCCAAACAGACTGAAAGTTTACTATAGATAAATATGTTTTTGTTTGGAAGCTGAAAAATCTCTGATGATATCTGAGACAGTAGGAAATGCCTGGACTTAGTCATCAGATTTTGGGGGTTCAAATCCTTGCTGTACTCTTTGACAGCTTCCTGTCAAGTTTTTTAACTTCTCTGTCAAAATTCCCTCATCTGAGAATGAAGCTAATAATAGCATCTACCACACAGGGTTGCTGTATTAAATTTGTTAATGTAGGTAAGTGTTTGGAATGTGACTGGCACCTAGAGCGAGCTAAATAGTTGACTATTATAATTACTATTACTTAAACAAATTGAAAAATAGGATATATTTGTTAGAAATTTATCTTAAAAATAACTTTGCTGGGAATAGCCACAGTCCCTAAAGGAAGTGTTCCTTTTATAGTTGTTTGCTTTATGTGCTTGGATATACATCATACCATGCCCCCAGACATTTGGGAGGGCAACTGTTTAGTTTCTAGACCCTAAGACCATAATACATGTCTTCCCTTTTGCTGAGCTGCTGGTGACCCAGGCAGGGCTAGAACCTCAAAATGGTGTGACTCTCCCCTGACATAATATATTTGCTTTCTCAGATGCAAAAAGTCTGTTTTCTTCTGCTTCTCCAGTGATTCTTATTTCATGGCCTATTCATTCATTGTATATTTTTTCCTCATCTGACTTCTTGAATAATTTCAGAATTTCAAAAATGGATAATACTTGGCTGTTGTCAAACCATTTTCTCCTCACGCCTAATTTGTCCTTCATAACAACTCTACAGGATAAAGGCAGATATCTCATTTTTTAAAAAAATCAGTTCATCTGTTCTTTTCCATTTTTCTCACTTCTATGAAGTTTAGATTTCACAAGGAATTATTTTAATAATATTTAAAATGATGTCTTTGGGTTTCTTGTCTCTTTGCTATTTTATTATCCTCTCTAGAAAAATCCTAATGCTAGGTAGGTGCTTTTTCTGGATCTGTGTCTGGGCACCCAAGCTCTGGGGGGCAGTTTGTTTGAACTCTAAGTTTGTGATCATCCCCTCAAACATGCCCTCAGCACAGCCCGGCAAGCCTCCTGTTTCTCTTGCCATTTTAGTCTTCACTTCCATGACTTTTTGTCATTACCCATTTTGTTGGATATTCTGATTCTATTCATGCTGTCCACTTGGACATGAGCTCACTTCTACTTTGACAGAGATGACAAGAGCCATGATATTGGAAGCTCCTCATATACTCACTACCCTCATGCAGACCTGTGGCTTTCTGCAGCAATCACATCTTCCCTTCCTCCTTCTACAGCTTAGGTCATGTCCTCCACCTGTGATTTTGATGTCTTAAAACTGTCATTTATCCCTTCTCTCTTACCTTAATTGTTCCCACTGTTTTTTTTTTAGTACCAAGGGTTGAACCCAGGGGTACTTAACCACTGAGCCACATCCCCAGCCCTTTTTTATTTTTATTTAGACACAGGGCCTCACTGAGTTCCCAAGTGCCTTGCTAAGTTGCTGAGGCTGGCTTTGAACTCTCTATCCTCCTGCCTCAGCCTCCTGAGCTGCTGGGATTACAGGTGTGCGCCACTGTGCCTGTCTCCCACTGGCTTTTAAATGTGTGAATGTTTCTTCTACTTCAGAACCAAAAGGCAAAAATGGAAACAACACCAACAGCACCAACCCCACGTGTCAGCCTTGCCCGGCTGTTGGTCCATTCTGAACAGAAAAGGGGAGGCAGGGAGGAGTGAAGAATCTCCAGTGACTTGGACACGCTGCAGAACATCATCAGAAAAGCTCTGCCAGTCTGCACTGCAGGGTTTTTCAGAGTGACTATACAACCAGTATGAGATCAGACAATTAAAAAAAAAGAGAAAGAAGGGATTATGTTCATAATAGCATTTTATTGCAGAAAACGTAACATCAACAGGAAAATATCTGGCTTTCAGAGTTGAAGGGTTGTTTTTTCAGTTCTGTGGTCCTTCACCCTTGCCAGTGTGGGGTACTGGTAAATACAAGACAGTGATGGGGAAATATGGTTGTCATTAGTGATGCACAAATCTCAAATGCAGTCTCTGAAGATTCACAATCATCGTAGACAGTAAAGACCAGCTTCACAAGCAGTTTTTGCAGAGTAGTTTTACCCCCATGATATCGGCCCAGTGCCCCCATTTTCTTTAATATTTAGGAGCATAAGCTGGTTACCCATCATTTCTCGGAGGAGCTGAGGAAGACTCTTGTGTCACGGGTTGTTTGCATACACAGCTGGAATGACCAGGACAGACTAGAAAGAAAGAGTATAAACCAAGCAGTGTGGTTAGTACAGCCTATTCGGCCTTCTCCAGCCCCGTCCAACACAGGGACAAAAAGTGCCCTTGTAAGTAAGTCTGTGTCTCTCCAGCATGTCTACAGGCTATTTTACAAAGAAGAGACCCCCACTCACCCCACTGGTGTTGGTGACCATTTGCTTGTTAAAATGGGCCGTGGCACAAGTTATGCAGAACTCCAAGAGGGAGAAAATCATCAGCATGGCTGAAATTCCTTTCCCAGAAATCTGAAACCACAAATAAATACTAATCAGGAGGGCCTCACACGGGCTTTGACAAGTTATTGCTCATTAAATGCAATATTACTCATGCTTAACTGAAAATGATTTTCCCATTACCAGCAAGCGCTTATTTCAGGGGAATATGGATTTATTTTGATTTATTTATTTTTTTTTACAATACCAAAAGACTTCTTTTGGCCAGTAGACTGCTTTACTTAGAAATATTAGAAAAGAGATAATTTTTTTTCCTTCAATGGTTTCCTCATTTCTTTTTTTTTTTTAATAAGAAAGTCATTCACAAAAAGCCAGAAATATAGCCACTAATCCATTATCTCAAATGCTACTGTTTAGAAGTGACCAAAGTTAGCACGGGCGGCTATTATTCTGGCTCTGTATGAACAGGCACAAGGCAAAGAGAAGAATGGATACATGGAGAGACAGCAAGAAAGGAAAAATAGTGAGTAAGAGAGGGAAGGAGAGTCAGAGAGAGGCTCTATGTTTAGTTGAAAAACCTAACACAGATGCCTGGAAACCAAGATGTTGGGTCTGAGTCCTGTGATAGTCACCGAGTACTTTCGCTGTTCCTTGGGAGTGGCAATTGGATTAGAAATGGTGGATATAGCTTTCCCGGATTTAGACCACAAGAATGAGGAAGCTCAGTGGTTTTTTTTTTCCCTATGGTTTATGTGACCCACACCCTCATCAAACCAAGGTACATCTTATGAGGAAGAAGGAAGACATATGAATTCACATCCACTCTTATCATCTGATGTGTTTAGTGTCCTAATGAGCTGGATTATGCCTTTACTAAAAATGGATAATGTGTGTCTGTGGGTTTCTGCTGACTCACCAACCAGATCGAATTTTTGGTCTTCTTTCCTCCCTCCCTCCCTCCCTCCCTTCCTTCCTTCCTTCCTTCCTTCCTTCCTTCCTTCCTTCCTTCCTTC